CAACTCGAGCGGGGAGTCGACTTATCCGCACACTTGGAGTATTATAAAACACCGTGGATGTTCTGGCAAGTTTCCTAAGAAATCTTCCAGATTTTGAATAGCACAAGGCAAAGGCTCTGAAGGAGCGTAGGAAGAGGCTCTTATGCGAGACGACCGTTGTCCGTGGTGGCACGGTCGCTCAGAGACACTTTTCCTCTATGCGTCAAATTAACAAAGATGTCTTGGAGGCACTCCTAAGAGGCACGTCTGTACTGTATGAACTTCCGATGTCGACTCTGCGGTGGGAGCTGCTTCCGGGGCCTCGTTCGGTCCGGACAATGGAACTCAAGAGTGGGGTAAGCTATATGGTAGGAGTAATGGGATTATACGAGAGGGATCCAGAGTAGGAGCGTTCAAGGTTTTTCAGAGTGGGACTGAGTGGCGTGATGCTGACGGGGCATCGAGACATCTCGGCGCGCCGCCGGATGTGATAAGGAGCGTGGTCAACAGGATGCCCTATGTTACCTGATATGGGCTCGGGTTACTCGGGGATTCCAGAGCACCTTCGGTGGCCCGGCTGCGTGCGTGCCTTATCTTTGAGACTTCCTGTCGCCAGTCTGACTTATATGTGCGCGTAATTATTTATGCCTTATAATATTATATAAAAAATGGTTAATATTATATATGTGTGGTTCTTAAAGTTATAATATACGCCTAATTTAGTATTATATGAATAGTGTAATAGAAAGTTATAATGTTAATTAGTTATGATTTTTATAAATACAATATGCATGTGTTATAATAAAAGAGATATTTGTTATTAATGTTTAAATGTGGTTATTAAGAATTATTATAAGAAATGCATATTGTTAACAGTGGGTTTTAGAGTGTAAAGATTTATAATATTGTTAACTGGAAAAATAGGATTTCTTATTACAGGGATCCTTATTATTACTGTTGTTAAATTAATGTTTCTCGGCAAGGCTGAGTTCTACCATAGGGCTCTCTACTTACGTATGTCGGTAAGGTAGATCCCTTGGGTAGGTTTCGTTATTATTGGCGTCGGTAATTAATTAACAATTGTTATAAACGGTTCTTATGTATAAATTACCGAGTTTTAGACCTTATAGAAGCTTATGGTAATAGAAGATTCGATGAACAATTAATTTTTATTATTAGTGATGAGTTCAAGCCGTTGTACTGTACGAACGAATTTAAAAGAGTGCAATATTTAAGAAGAGCTTGAACGTGAACAGAAGGCTTAAATTAAATTAAATAAAGTATTTAAACGTGACCAAGGCAAAAATGGTGGATTTCCAAGCTAAATAGAGTATTTAAGTGACCCCTGAACTTAAATAAATTAGGTTTATTAAATTTTAAGTAAGAATTACCAAATTTTGAGAATGTACTGTCAGAAGGATTCTCTGTTTGTGGGCAAGAATTAATTGTTTTCGTTTGGCATTATTTCCTTTTGTAATTAATATTCTGAGGTTTTGACATTTGCTTATGTTTCACTAAAATGTTCTCTATGTACGTAGGTGTTAAAAATATTTTAAATTGACTTTTCTCAATTTTCACGGAAGGTACGCATTACTGATGTCCCAATAGTCCCTGCGTATGAATTTTTGAATTTTCTGAAGTCTACTGGTAAGTAACATTGTTGGTTTCTTATTAATTGTTAATGTTTTTCAAAATGTTAATATGGTCGTTAAATAGAGGTCTTTTAATGCTATTGTTAGCAATTAAGATTTTTCTTCTAGGCCTTATAGTTACTGAGAAAAACATGCCTTTTCCTGATTGGTCGAGACATTCAAATAGCCATAACTTCTAAACTATCGATTTTACAGAAATTTTATTAGGACATAATTTGTAATACTTTGAAGGAGCCTTAAATCGCACCGCGCGATTTTCTAAAATTATTATTATTTTAAAAGATATGAACTTTTATCGATAAATTTTAATAGTAACAATTACCCTCTATGGTTGAATCTACCTATATGTCTCGCTGGCCCTCCAATGCAGAGGCGAAAAAATGATATGGTGGAGAGAACGTCGCAGGACGTTACAGTGGTAGTAGTTATCTGAGGGAGGGTGTTTAGTTATTTCGCGGTTGGTTACTTGTCGGTCTCCATTTTGTGTGCTCATGAGTCAGCTGTCAGTTGCGAATGATCAGTCGTGTATGTAAGAAAGAAAGAGGAGAAAATATGTATCCTTTCCATCAACGTTTTCCTCGGCGAAGATACTTCCGACCGGTGCCGGCGATAATAGTGAGTATATGTCAGGGTATTGCATGCATGGATGTAAGCTCAATTGGATGCACATTAGGATATTTGGTTATACTACTAAGGTATGTTACTACAGTGCTTCTGCAATGGGGATGTGACCTTGAAGACAAATATCCAGATTCCTGGTCTGCTGTCTATCTGCGAAATGACGGAAGTGCGTTGGAAAAGGAGATGGAGGAGGAGAGAGGCAGCCGACTTTTGGCTATACGGTGGTTTAGATATGAGCCCTGACCCTGACGCCTACGGTCTTAAAAATTTGTTCGGGTAAATAAAAAGCTTACACTGAATCCCGATTAAAAAGAACATTTTTAATTGGTAATTATTTTGTTCGTTACAGGGAGCGAGCATAATGCCGAGATCGACGCGTATAGACGTTATGTGTTAATATTGTAATGCCTGTACAAGGATATTTCATACAGTATAATTATTTTCAATTAAATTTGCGTTATTACTCGTTATACCCCCTCCTTTCTTTTTCCCTTTTCTAAAATCTTTCCCTATTTTCTCTAGGGTTATTAGATAGTATTTGAAAAGCAAAGTATTAATAAGAAAGAGGTGGGTAAAAGGTGTTAGTTGTTTACGGTGAGGAGATATGAATAACGATCTCTGCTTGGATTAGTCATGATATAGGAATGCACGGTTTATCTTATCGAGGAGATAGCGAGAAAGGTGGTGGGGTAGTCCGTGACTTGCGTTACACGGTGGAAGTTGATTTTGTCTATTCGTTTAAGTTTTTAGTAGCAGGAATTTGTCAATTATTGTTACTGATGACCTCTCTTAATGGGGGATTAATTATTAGTATATATATATATCTATTGTGTGGGTGATCATGTGAAAAAGCGATTGAAGTATTAGTGAAGGACAGGGTAACTATGGCGGTTATGTCGGTCTAGAGGTTATTGCTCAGGGATTCTTTGTGCGCGAACAATAATCTTCTAAATTAATATTTTTCAGCAACAATTTTGATCGAGTCGGTAAGGAGGAGCGCGAGTGGGTACGCTCGGTGGCCGCGGGATGACGGTGGCGCGACGTGCCTTAAGGCTACCGCGGTGTACTGCTTTAGGGACTATGAATGAGTTTGTTCCGCCATTTTGTTGCACAGGTGGGTCTAAATCTTTAAAACTTTAGTGTATCGCGGTTATTAATCATTATTTTATCCTTGTTTGCTTTTCGGCGGCAGGTTTAAGCATAGGTCTGCTAAATGTAACTAGGCTAGTAATATACTAGGATTTAACGTTAATAAATTGTATTATAACAATGGCTTATTAGGTAGGATGGTAAGTGGTTAAATTAAGTCTCTGTATTCAATAGCTATGGTACAATTAGGTATGTATATATAAGAAAAGGTATTACGCGAGATATTATATAAAAATATCGGTTATATAGGGTGTTAAATAAGTGAGTGTGGTGCAATTTCAAAAGTGTAGTATATGTACGTATATGCGCATAAGTGCGTTATTGGAGAGAGAAGGGTATTAAAAATATTATTGTTACAGGTTCCGACGAATATAGAAGGCGCTTGAGATGTAGGATACAGATAGTTCGTGACCTGTTGGTTAGCCGAAAACAGTGACAAAAAAAAAAGGTGCGTGCCTGCCGACCTTGTTTCGTTTCTCGATTTTGTTATCCATTAAGTGGAAATCTTTACGGCAATTGGATTTTGGAAGAAAAATTTCCTTCTTTATGCCTCGGAATAGCGGGATGTTACACTCTCCCCTCATCGCACCATATTCGAACATTGCTTTGATCGGCACACAATCGCGACTCGACGTTCGACAGCACTTTCGAATGTTGCTCTGAAAAATAATTTCATCGCGCGTATGTCGCGATGTATAACTAAAATTACACATTGCGACAACAACCGACAGCCCTTCCGCGTCGAGGAGCGTCGGTTGACGCACAGAGGCGCGCCGCATTCGATACTATTATTTATACACGTTTCTCCGTTCACATTGAACATTTGTACGGTGGGGAAAAGGGAATAACTTCGACCAATGAGCGGTCTAACACCGCTCCCACTTTTGCGCAAATGGTTGTTTCTACAGTCAATCGTGACATCGGTGTCTTCGAACGGTGGAGGGTGAAATTAACGCCCTTTTTGTGCCTGTGGTAGGGGGAAAGTGTACAAGTACCAGCGTCCAGCGCAGCGCGCCGCAGTGCGCAATCGACGCTCGCCCGACGTCGAAGGGCTGTCGGTTTCGTCGCCGTGTGTAACTTTACGTTACACCCAGCGGCGACACGCGCCGAACAGCCTCGTGCGGATACGAATGCGTTTCAGGGAACGAGAAAGGAATTCAACGATTCGTTTCATATCATGTTTCTTTATTTCGTACGAACGCGTCCATGAGTACCTCAATCGTGTCGTCGTCGATTCGAACGTTCCAACCAACGCGCTTCGAAACGTCTATCGATCGCGTATTCCAATACGCCGTTGCACTTGCCTCCTCTGGTCGGTGTCGGACTCATCACATTGATCGGCATGTCAGGTACCAATTGCTCTCCCCCCGGCTGTAGTATTATATGGTACGCAGACGGCATACTCGTCTTGGCCGGGGGGAATGACTGGGGGGATGCCGTACACACGGCAAACCTTGCGGTGGCAGGAGTTGTGCGCTCCAACCTGGGCTTGGTGGTGGCTGAAAGAAAAACGGAAGCCATCTTCTTTCATCCCAAGGGATAGAAACCACCCCAGACCAGGTGAGTATAGTTGCAGTCAGCGTCCCGTTAGAGGCCCAGATGAGATATCTGGGCCTCATATTGGGCGGCTGGTGCTTCAAAGAGCATTTCAACAGGCTGGTCCCCCGACTTAGGGTAATATCTGCCAGATTGCGCAGACTTATGCCCAATGTCGGAGGACCAGACGGGAAGGCTCGTCGCCTCCACGCAGGAGTTTTGAATTCGGTGGCGCTCTATGGAGCGCTAGTATGGGCGGAAACCCTGGCCGCTAGTCGCCCTATGCGAGCGCAAATGCGCAAAGTGCAGAGGGTGCTGGCGGCCAGGGTGGCAAGATGCTACCGTACCGTATCCTGCGTGGCGGCGACGTTCCTGGCGAGCATGCCCCCCATGGAGCTCATGGCCTTGTCGTACAGGTATACGTACGACAGGAAGCGTGAGCTCCTAAGAACGGGGGGTATAGGAGAACCGCTCGCCAGGGCCATACAAAATATGAAGCACCAGGCTCGATAGGTCCTCCTCCAGAGATGGGTGAGATTACTGGCAAACACCAGATACGGGAGGAAGACCGTCGAGGCCATCCGGCCCTTCCTACAAGAATGGGTAGGAAGGGCCCACGGGACCCTGACATTCAGGATGGCACAAGTGCTCACCGGGCATGGCTGCTTTGGTGAGTACCTGTGCCGAATAGGTAACGAGCGCACAACTTCCTGCCACCATTGCGGGCATGATCATGACTCCGCGCAACACACGCTCCAGGATTGCCCCAGGCCGGGCACCACCTCCATCCCCTCCTCCTCCTGCCCCCCTTTGTTGCAAGTAGGAAGGGCTCCAAGGAGGCAGAACGCCCCCCACAGGGCAATACGAGAAGGAGAGCAACGGGAGGTGGAGGGGAAAGTGCGACAGGAACGGTCGCACCGTTACCCTCCACCTCCACAGTAACTCCAATAGATGGAAGGACCGGGAGGAGACCGGGACTTAGGCCCCGACCTCCTAACTGCGATCCCCCGACTCCTACTCCTAAAGTAGGAGACGGATGAAAGTAAGGGGGGAGATGATGCCAGTGATGTTTTCACTGGAGAAAACACCTTTCTCCTCCCCTATTAGCAAGGTCCTAAGTTAAAGGACATGAAGGGAAGAGGGGGAGTCATTAGGACCCCCCTCTCATTCCTCTGCGGAGGTGGGAGTGCCCGGCGGCTAGGGGATCATTTCCCCCCGTAACTGCCGGGCGGGAGGATGCGGCACCGGGCGGGGACTCCCGGTGCTCCAATCAGCCCTCCAAGGTAGGGCGGCCGGCTGAGAAGGTGGATCAGTCGGCCGCACAACATGTATTGGCGGCGCCTCGTCTGGTCAGGAACGGTGGTCGAAGCGGGCTTCGGCCGGCTTCCCCCTTCCTGACCGAAGAGACGAGGCGAGAGAGGTGGGAAAGGGGAGTGGTGGTCGAAGCGAGCCCTCGGGCTGGCTTCCCCCCTCCCCCAACCTCCCCTCAGGGACAGAAGGCGTAAAGCCTGGACTCGGGGCCTCGATAAGCAGTTCGGCCCCGGGGCTCCGATTCCAGTCCTTTCGCAGCGCCACCCGGGGAGGTTTTAGCCGGTAGGAGTCCGGCATAACTCTGGCCCTTCCCCGAGGGTCAGGGTATCCATGATGGATTTCCTCCTCGTCAAAAAAAAAAGGTGTCGGTACTAATTGTCCAACGACGATCAGATTCTTCTTGTTGTCGCGGAGGTTCGTCACGTCCGAATAGGCTTCGGTGAACACGCGACGTCCAACGGGTCGCGTTGATCGTTCAAAGTTTGAATTCGAAACCTTGATCTTGCGAATTCGCGTGCGAGAACGCGCGGGCGTGCGAGAACTCCGAACAATCGACTCGAGCGAGCTATCGTTCGGATTCTCCGGTCGCGAGTCTACGCTTCGTTTACGTGTGGTCGCTGAGCATTCGGCACACTCCGAATCGGACGATGGCAACTTGGCGACGCTTCGTCGTCGCGCTCCAGCGGGAACCGGTCCGGTCGAATCCGAGTCTGAATCGGACGACGGTAACTTCGCGACTCTTCGTCGTCGCGTTCCAGCGAGAACCGGTCCGGTTGAATCCTAGTCCGAATCGAACGTGTTACGTCCCGGTCGGCCGCGGCTGCGATGCTAGGCTGCAGATGCTCGGGCCTGGACGCGGGGCTAGATCGTAATTTTTGGGTCAAACGAATCGCGTGATTCTCCCCAGGGATACGCGCGATCTGGCAGGCACGACACGATGTTCCGCGGAGTATAGAGCAATTGGCACTCACCAGTTCCTTTAATCCAATGTAATGATCTGGCACACCTGTGTCATGGAGTTGCGCACGTGCCCACGAAGCTGTTCGAGGGTCAGAGTTTTCTCGTTACAGGTGCGGAGGGTGTAAGGCGGGGTAGATGCTCCGTAGTAGTAGTGGAAGATCTCTGCACGCTGTCGACGGTAGAAAGCAGGCCTCGGGTCCCGTGGCGAGAATCCGCGTCGAATGATCGGTAGTCGCGGACTACCGATCCGACACCTCCCCCCTTATTAGAAAATGTCGGTCGTCATTGAACCGACGTTTTCTGGAGATATGTATATATGTACTTATTCTAAATGTCGCTTTAGTGTCTGGTTTGGCGTATTTCGCTCAGATAGTTATTTAGTTCGCTGTAACTTTTTGTTGGGGCACTTGCAATTCGCACTTCACTTTCACTGTTAGTGTCTCGTGCGTTGTCGGCTGCCTCGGTTTTGGGATGTATTAATACTTCCAAGGCTGCTTCTTCTTCTCTGGGCTGTTCGTTCTGCTGGGTCTTCCCGCGTCCCCCAAGGTGGATCAGCAGGTGGATGAGTGAGCTCCAGATTGCGCCTAATAGGTGGAGGTTCCATCCGTATATCGAGTGGAGTGCGTAGCCTCTTATAATGGAGTCGACTACCAATTTGACTAGTCGGATCAGGAGTATGATGCTCAGGATGCCTGCGCTTGCTGAACCGAATGTGATGAAGCCTTTCCATAGGCGTGCTCCTGCGCTCTCGGCGATTTTTTCCAGAGATTCTTCGTCCAGCATATTATACAGGGAGATGGTTCCAGCTGGGACCTTTCTTCCCATGGCTCCTTGTGCTAAGGTGCTGATGATTGCAGGTTTCTCCACTGGGAACATTATGTGGTTCCTGAGTCGGTCTAGGTCATCGGCGGAGTATATTCCGCTGGTCGCCAGGTTGGAAGGGTTTATGTACTTCCAGGTAGGCTTAGTAAGAGGTCGAATTACGGGAGGTGCGATTGATTCCACTGGTCGTGGCATCATTTTATACCAGGCCTCCTCGATATTGTACATCGGAGGTAACAACTCGTTGCATTCCCTCGGCGTGCCGGATTTGGTAAGGATGCGTGAGCGCGGTGTCAGGAAATATGAGGCGTTGTTGTAAGTTACTGGAAGTTCGTTGTAGCAACGCTCTGCTTGTCGGATTTTGCACGTGACTGGGATACATTTAATTATATATATGACTTCTCCGGAGGTCACTGCCGTGTATCCGTGGCTTTTCATTAGGCGGTGCGCCATTTCGTCCGGGGCGATGTTAGATAAGGATAGTGCGTTTTCTAGGATTTGCCTTTCCAGAGCGCATTTCTGTATCATGATGTCCTTGTAGAGTTTCGTCAGTTGGTTTTTCATGTGACGTTCGATGTAGACAAATTTGTAGTTCACATAGGCGAACATGTCTAGGTTGTCTATTGCGATGTTGGATTTTTCCTTGAAAGTCCGTCCTCTCGAGGTTTCGAGAATAAAGAGTTTTGGGTGTTCTGTGTGCATGATTTTGTATCCGCAGAGGTTTGATTCTGAGGTTTTGGCGAGGACGAATGTTGCATCGTTGTTAGTAACTGTGTAGATGGTGAGCCCATCCCCTTGTCCGGGTAAAGGGGATAATTTGTGCGCGAAGCCTTCGTAAAATATATCGTATCGGTCGAAATTACAATTATCCTTGGGTGTGGGTTTCCAGTATGTAGCGGTCCCGTCAGCGTCGAGGCATTCCCGGCTGGTGGCTTTAGAGCGGATTCCCGAAGGTAGTATGACTTCGTTGGCCATTATTTTGATGGGAACCAGGAAGTCTCGTAAGGTTATCCGGACGCTAGCCTGGACAATGGCGCTTTCCCACGTTCCGAATGGGTCAGTATAGGCGGCTCCTTGACAGGCGCCGTCATTTTGTAATGATCCGGCGAGGGTCAGACTCTGTGACGTAGTTGAGTTTCTTTTTAAACCGTCAATTAGGATGTCATTTCCCAAAATGATAGCTCCTGTTTCCTGGGACTTCCTGCAGGTTTCCTCGGAGATTTCTCTTATATAGCTCCGTTTTCCTCCGGGGACAGTGGATACATGGGACCACATTCCACAGCGGTAGATTATGCGGTCGACTTCTAGGCGGCATTGTATGGCCTCAGTGTGGGTGAAGTCGTTGAATTGCATTAGCTGTAGATAGACCTCTTCTTTCTTAGGTTCGACGTCGTCAACGTGGCATTCGGCAATGTCGGTTAACGAGAGCGATGTAATGTTTAATCCTTCTCCTCCACAGTCGTATCCCAGGAGGGAGGTTGCAGGTTCGGTTCCGAAGGCAGCGAAGAGGGCGAAGGCTGTCAGGAGGTGCATCTTGGTGCGAGGCTCGTGGTGTACTGATGTATGCCCTTCGTCGCATCGTTCTGCCTTGTGTCCTGGTGTTAGCAGTGGGGGTTGCTGGCCTGTGGTCGGAGAGGGGGTCCTTTGGCCTTATCTAGAAGCAACTTATTACTATGGACAATTTTCGTCTGGTTTTCGCTTATACTAATGCGTATGTTATTATTTTGTAATACTTCTAGTACTCGGTATGGGCCCGAGTATTGGTCTCCTAGCTTACCCTTGCTGGGTTCTTTTAGTAAGTACACGCAGCCTCCTACTCTGAAATTCTGAGGGTTCAAGTTTCGATCATAGTAACGTTTGCTACGGGCCTTGGCTCCGCAGAGATTCTCGCGAGCGAGTTCCTGTGTGGTTTTTAGGCGATTGAACAGCGTAGTTAAGTAATCCTTGTATGTTTCGCTTAAGTTATCCTCGATAGGTGGGTCGCTAGACGGTGTTCGCGCGCTTTTCCCGAAGACTAGCTCGTGTGGCCTATAGGAGGTCCCTTCGTGCACGCTTGAGTTATACGAGAACATTGCGAGATTAAGGAATTCGTCCCATTCGTATTGCGTGTTGGTGTATTGCTTCAGATACTCCCACAAGACGTAGTGGCTGCATTCTATGGATCCGTTTGATTGTGGGTGGTACGCGGTAGTCTTGCACTGGTTGATCTTAAATTTTCGGACCACAGCCTTGATGAGGCTGTTAATGAAGTGAGAGCCTTGGTCGGTTAGAACTGCTTTTGGTGCGCCATATAGACAGATGAAATCGTTTATGAACGCGTCTGCTACGTCTAACGCGGAGGCTTGTCTCAGCGCGATGGCGGTGGAGTGTTTGGTTAGTAGGTCTTGTATTGTGAGGATGTAGGAATTGCCGGAGGAAGT